CCAGGATGGTTTGAGGCCCTGAAGACCTTAAAGAGCATCTTGTTCCACCCCCCTCTTGAGGGATTTAGGGAGGTTTGGTGCCAGGTTTGGGTTAACACCTTGCCCTGGCTCAGCTCCTGGGTAGCCCAGGACCCTCTGCCCTTGCTCTGCACCAGCAACATCCCACCCACAGCCTGAGGAGCCCGGGAAGGAAAACCTGCCCAGCATCACTGCCATCAAACAAGGGCCTCTGAGGAGATCAGAGCTTTACAAGCCTCCTTCAAAGGGCTCTGAGTGTTCCCTGCGTTCTCCCTTTAATCTTGGGAGGAGCAGAGAGAGAAAAGGGGGAGGAGGAGAAACACAGAACTGAGGAATATCTGCTGCAGGTGGAGCAGGGAAGTGGGATAAGGAAGGGCTTTGATCTGTCTGGGATCTGGAACACAAACACTGCCCACCCCGTTACAACACGAGTGAGCCCCAAATGAACCTCCTGCAGCAGCTGCAGCCCCGTCACCCCTGCTGGCAAAGCCTCTTCCAAAGGTAGCTCAGCACATCCCAGGCTGGATCAGGTGCCCAGGCAAGGCTGTCAATAGGCACAAAGAATCTCCTTCCCCACTCTGAAGAGGCTGATTGTAAGAATAACATGTAAACCTGGGTTTAAAATAAATAAATATACACCCAGAAGCCCTCCAGAAAGGCACAGCTGGTTGTGCAGAGCTCGTTTAGGTTTTACAGAAGCGTCCCAGGGCTAAAGTTATGGACAATCATCAGTTTGAGACACTTGGTTATCGGAACATCAGCTCCACCCTCGTGCCAGGGATTTGTAAAGAGCCAGAAGGTCCCCCCTGAGCCTCCTTTCCTCCAGGCTGAGCACCCCCAGCTCCCTCAGCTGCTCCTGCTGCTCCAGCCCCTTCCCAGCTCCCTTCCCTTCCCTGCACACGCTCCAGCCCCTCCAGGTCCTTCTGGCAATGATGGTCAGGACACCCCAACAGCAGAACCCGCACCAGCCCCATTGCCCTGCAAGACTTCCCAGCCGGGCCCTTTGCTCGGTTATGGGGGATCCAACCTGCCCGTGGGGTTTCACTCCCCACGCTCCCCCACTCCCCATCCAGGGGAGAAATTCCCACTTGCCAAAGACAGCTTGGGGGGTGGGGGGAGCTGTGGATGACTCGAGGAGCGGCGTTTCCCGGGGAGAGGCAGCGCGGGCTGCTCGTTTAACAGCTCATTATTCACACCTTTGATGCTTTGTTTTGCAAATAACGCGTGTTTAGCACTAAAGATGATTTAAAAGCAGCTGATCCCATCTGATCTGAGCTCCCGGCAAAGAGGATGAGCCTCGGAGAGGGTTGAGCTCCCAGATGTGCCCCAGAGGTGAGGATTATGTTGTTATCGGCATCCCGAAAAAAAATCCTGGGGATGGGAAAAGCCAGAGAGAGACAGGATGGAGGAGAAGGAGCTGCTCCTGTGCCCGAGACCGGAGGAGGCGAATGGACGTGTCCCTTGTCCCCCGTGGCTTCCAACCCACCAAAGTCTCTCTCCAGCTCTCCTGGAGCCCCTTTAGGCTCTAAAAGGGGCTCTCAGGTCTCCCTGGAGCCTTCTCTTCTCCAGGTGAACCCCCCAGCTCTCCCAGCCTGGCTCCAGAGCAGAGGGGCTCCAGCCCTGGGAGCAGCTCCGTGGCCTCCTCTGGACTCTCTCCAGCAGCTCCACGTCCTTCTGATGTTGTCCAGGGCTCGAGGCAGCTCTGCAGGGGGATCTTACCTGAGTCCCTTTAGGACATGGTGGATTTTGGGGCTGCCAGAGCCCTCAGTTGGGACCTGTGGAGCTCCTCAGCAACCAGGATGCTGAGAATTCATTCAAGCCACTGGTTTGCTGTTGGGGGTGGGTAGTGCCACCTCTGCCACTTTTCCACGAACATTTCCTGGCATGAGAACATCTCCTGGGATGGGAGATCCTCCCAGTTTCTCCTCTTTGGGGTTTGCTCCTGGTGCAGGTGACTGGAGGAGGCAAATGGACACGTCCCTTGTCCCCCTGTCACCCAGCTGGGATGGCAGGTGGCTTCCAACCCACCCACAAACAAGGGACTGGTCCTTGCATCACATTTGGGGGGGATTTTCCCATCAGGATTTAACCACAATTCTTTTCCACAAAGAATCCCTCCATTCTGAATTCTTTCAAGGTTTTTGAGTGTGGTGTGGTTTTTTTTGTTGTTGTTTTTATTTTATTTTATTTTATTTTTTTTGTTTAGGGCTGGAGTATTTTCTTGCAAACCTTCTCATCAGTTTTGATCTGTCCTGAGAAAGGTTTTTTTTGGCTTAGAGATCTGAATTAGAAAGATGCCACCGGTCACTGTGCAATGTCCCATGGCTGGGGCAGCCCAGGAGAGGCACCAGCCCATCCCAATGGATTTGAGCCCACCCTGAAGGGGGAGAAGGGGGAGATGCATCACTGAAGCAGAACCCACCCCCAGGGAATCATGGAATGCCCTGGACTGGAAGGGACCTTAAAGCTCATCTTCCTCAGTCTTTCCAAGTGATAACAGAGGAAGGTTTTGGGACGAAGGGATTTGAAGGCTGGGATTTGTCCAAGCCCCAGGGACACAAGCCAAGGACGGTGGCCCTGATGTGGCCACAGGGGCTTGTGCCCCACAGTGGAAGGGGGACAGCCATAAACCCACCCCCATTCCATGTTCCACTGGCTCCATTCGTGCCGCTGCTCCACGGGCTTTAGGGGTGAAGGTTCAGCCTGGCTGGGGGTCCCTCCTCCTCCTAAATTATCCCATCACTGCTGGAAATGCCCCCCACGAGCTCCTGCCCCCTCCTCCTCTCCCGGCTGGGGAAGGGAGGGCACAGGGAGGAGGAGGATCTGCTGAGCTCCCAGCTCCAGGAAAGCTCGGGGGCTTCCTTAGGAACATTCCCCCGGGATTGAGTGCCTCCCTTTCCCCGCAGGGAGCTCTGGAGAAGTTCCCAGGGCTGGGTCAGTCCCCTCTGCCAAACCCCGGCTCAGCCCGCGCTTGAAGGAATGAGAACGATGCCCTTCCTCCAGTTCATTCCCAGATGTTTTTCCTGTAACCACCGTAAATGATTCAGGAGCCGGGCCAGCTGAAGGCAGAGCTGATGGATGACGGGTCTGTTCGCGGGAACGTTTTCCTGCCGGAGATTTTTGGGAAACAAATCTATTTATCCTCGTTCCGAAGCGAAACAACCCCCCCCCCAGCCCGGGTGACTCAGCCCTGAGTCAGGGAACAGCAGGAGCAGCAAGGAGCGATCCAGGCTGTGCCAGGGAAGGAGGGGCTGGAGCAGGCGCAGGGATTTGGGCACAGGACTCCTCCAGTTCTCCCTGCTTTTAAGGGGTTAAAATAATTTTGGCCCGTTTTGCCCTTAGGACGGAACTTCCCGAGGCTCCAGGGTGGGTGTTGAAGCAACAGGTCCCACTGTGCTGGATGTGGCACCAGGACTCACATTTGTGCCCTGGCTTGGGGTAAAACCACCCAAAACAGAGGGAGGAGAGTTCTTTGGGAGGGTCCTGGGCAGCGCCGGGGCAGGAAGGGGAATGGGGACCTCCAGCAGCACCACAAGCTGAAGGATGGCTGTGACACAGATGGAAAACTACGGAAAATGGGTTGGAATTACTCAATTATTAATCCAAATATATTTAGAGCATCACGAGATGGGCTGATCCTGCAGTCATGACACTGGAGAGGTTTTCTTCCCCTGACCTTTGGCAGAACAGAAAACTCCTCACTGAAATAAAATCACTTTTTTCCCGGGTACATCCCATTTTCCATTAAAGTTTCCCCGTGGACACATCCCACCCCCAACCCACAGAAGTGAGAGCCAACCTGTTCCAACTGCCAGAAGCAATTCCAGGTGAGGCAGGAATGCTGCTGTTGGAAAGAGGTCCAAGTCCCTCCCATTCCCAGCACATCCAGAGCACGATCCCAGAGCTCAGCAGAGCCCCTCCAAATTTAGTGTTGTCCCCAAAACAGAGCAGAGATGGGACTTGTCCAGCTGGGAACTCCCTGGGTAGGAGGATCATGGTGGGGGGGGGGGTCTGTGCTGGAAGATTTTCCCTGAGCTCGAGGTAATTCCAGAGGGATCGCAGAGGTGAATCCTGCCCAAAGGGCTCTTGGAGCAGCTTGCAGGTGCCAGCTGGACCCCAGGAGGGACAGGCAGGCAGGAGGTGGCCCTGGTTCCATTCTTCTAGGACAGCTCAGGTGCCAATTCCCATGGGAATGCTGGGCACTGACCTCAGGAGGGCACACACCTCGTCCCCTCCACTGCCCTCTGAGCCCTGGAAAACAGCGGAGAGGAGCAGGGAGGGAGTGTGAGGACACAGGATCAGGATGGAGGGAGCACAGGGAGGACATGGGAGATGGATGGAGGGAACGTGAGGACACAGGGAGAGGATGGAGGGAGCACAGGGACACAGGGAGAGCCAGAAAAAGAAGGATGGAGAGAGCACAGGGAGGACATGGGAGAAGGATTGAGGGAGCCTGAGGACACAGTGAGGATCAAGAGGGATGGAGGGAACACGGAGACATGGGGAGGATCTGGGAGAATCCTTCCCTGTTCAGGTGGGCAGGCCCTGGCACAGGGTGCCCAGAGAAGCTGTGGCTGCCCCTGGATCCCTGGAAGTGTCCAAGGCCAGGTTGGAGCAACCTGGGCTGGTGGAAGGTGTCCCTGCCCAGGCCAGCGGGTGGAACAAGATGGGCTTTAATGTCCCTTCCAGCCCAAACCATTCCAGGATTCCACAATCCCATCACTTGCCCGGCTCACACATTATTCTATATATTTACTGTGTTTCTGTTAATCTTTTCTGAAGCTCAGAAAGCAAAACTGTATCAATATATTTCATTTCCTGCATCTTCCAACCCAAACCATTCTGGGATGCTGGATTTTGTTTGAAATGATGGTCAGGAAGGGTGTCCAACACCCACAGACACAGCAGTGCCTTCCCTGCCCCTCCACATCCTATGAAGAAAAGAGATCTCACACAACATTTGTGCTTTTGATCTCCTGAAAATCAATTTAATGTCCCCACCTCACAAAGCCCTGCACAGCAGCCACACACCAAAGGTGCTCTGGGCAAAATTACTTTATTGCCTTTCTTCTTTAGAAACACTTTTTACAGCTTAAGAAACGGGGTTGCTTTTAAAAAAGAAAGAAAATCACCATTCCAGGGACTCTCAGCACCCACAGCTCCGTGGGATGAGCAGGTTTAGGGACCTCACAGACCCCCATGAGAGCAGGATTGAGGGGTGTTCCCACCTCCAGCTCTGGGTGTGAATTCAACTGTTCCTGCTGCTGCTTCAGGCGGTTCCTGGGACGGGTTTGGCTGGAGCAGAACCTGCAGCCCTGAGGGAGGAGGGGGTGCCCAAGGAGGGGGTGCCCAGGGGTGGGAGCCAGGGAAGAGGTGTGGGAGGCCACTTGGGAAGGGGCAGAGCCTTGCCTGGTTCAGCCATGTGGGAACTGAGGGCACACAGAGGCTCCAACCCTTGGGGATGCAGCGAGGAGGGAAAGGGAATTCCCTCCTTATTTAAAAGCCATTTTCCAGCCAGGCTCCAGCACTTCCAGAGCATCCAAGAGCAACCCCTGGGGACTGTCACCTGGCCTTGTGGCTGGATGTCACCTCTCCAAAGGGGAACAGTTGGGCTTCTTGAGCCCAGAGACCTGGACTGGGTCTGGTTTCCATCTCCACCCGGTTCTCCCATCCCCAGCAGCAACGAGGCTGTGGAGCTTCCCAGGGGAGCAGGGGGAGCTCCATGCCTGATGCCCAGCTCCCATGGACACTGGGCACACACAGCCAGGGCTCTGAGGGATTGTACCTGTTGTTCAGGGCAGCTGGGAGTGGGATAACACTGCTCAGGAACATCCACTCCCAAACCCAGGAAGCTGGAAGATACTTGGAGAGGTATCAGAAATCACAGCTGGTGTCAACAGGGGGGCTGTTCCTCACAGCATTCCCAAGTTTCTAGCATGGGATGAGGTTTTTACAGGAACTAAGTCCATACAATGATATTCCCAGCAGGGCTCAGGTTCTTCAGTCCAACACCTGCCCTGAGCCAACAAGCTCGTGGGGTTGAAATCCCTGTGCACTCCTCCTCGTGGATATGGAATTTTCCTTGTGGATGTGGTTTTTGCTGCCAAGCTGGGGGCCAGATGTGCCAGGCTCTCCTCACACAGGGCACTGGAATCCAAGGAATGCTCCTGCTCCACATCCAACCCCAAAGCACATCCAACTCCAAACGTGGCCCCGGCCGCTGCCTCCCCCATGCTGAGAAATCACTGCCATGAACCACTTCTGATTTGGGAGAGAGGAATGTTATAAATATTTTCCTCCAGGAAGCCCTAAAACCAGGAAGGAAGGGTTAAATCAAGGCTTGACCCTCCTGCTCAACAGCACTTGTGGGATAAGGTGGATGGAAAGATCCAGAATCGGTGTCAGCCGGGAATGGAGTCCCAAAGCTCAGCAGCCGGAGATGTCCCGGGCCTTGTTCCTGCGCTGGAATCTGACATCCAGGGGGTCAAAGCCCCTCTCCCTGGCCCCAAAGAGAGCCCAGGGGGGAGTCCTGGCCGTGTAATCGGCCGCTGTGAAGGTCCTGGAGCCGCCGCTCCGCTCGCGCTCCCGCACCAGCTCCTGGAAGCGCTCGTAGTCGATCCAGGTGAACCACTCGCCATCCACCTTGAACTGGAGGGAAAACAAACCCGTTATGGAGCGATGGGAGGCACCAAATCCACATTTCTGCCAGCACAAGATGGGTCTGCACTGAGTGGATGCCAGCTGCTGGTGTCTTTAACTCTGTAACCCCCCCGAGGGGCCGGGTAAAGACACCCTGAGTGGCCTTCATGGGAAACCAAAACAAATTCAGGTGGATGAACATCCTCATCCACGGGGTTGGAGAACACCTGCAGACACAGGATCCCTGGGTTCCTCACAGCTTTAGTCACTGAGGGCTCTGTGCCCCCAGAGAATTGATTCAGCCCCTCTGCTCTGGAGCCAGGCTGGGAGTGCTGGGAGGTTCACCTGGAGAAGAGAAGGCTCCAGAGACACCTCAGAGCCCCTTGCAGGGCCTAAAGGGGCTCCAGGAGAGCTGGAGAGGGGCTGGGGACAAGGAATGGAGGGACAGGACACAGGGAATGGCTTCAAAGTGCCAGAGGGCAGGGATAGATGGGATATTGGGAATGAACTCCTCCCTGTGAGGGTGGGCAGGCCCTGGCACAGGTTGCCCAGAGAAGCTGTGGCTGCCCCAGCCCTGGGAGTGTCCAAGGCCAGGTTGGAGCACTCTGGGCTAGTGGAAGGTGTCCCTGCCCATGGCAGGGCATTGATGTGGATGATCTTTAAGGTCCCTTTCCACCCAAACCATTCCATGATAATTTCCACGAGGGTTTGAGTGTTGGATACTTTGCTGGACCCTTCAAAGTACCACATTCCACCTCCCCTCCAGCCCCACTTTCCAGGAGGAACATTCCCATGGAGCCTTCCAGAGCCTTCCCAGGCCTGTCTGCGGTTCCCAGGTGACACTCACACCTGGAAGAACTGGAAAAGCCCTGGAGGACATGTGTACATGAGGGATTGATGCCCAGGAGCCCCTTGGGGGCCAAGGTCAACCAAAGCTCCTGCTCAGATCGTGCATCTCCAGCTCCAAGCCAGCACAACCTGGAAAAATGGCACAGGAGCAGCATCAGAGCAGGGCCTGGGATGGATTTTGGCAATTCTTGACAGGGGCAGGAGGGCTGTGTTTGGGAAGGGGGAGGATAAAGAGGTTTAACGACACCAATCCTCTTTCCACGTGAGAATGTGAGGAATTGCTTACTCTGACAGGCTGAAGCTGCATTTGTCTCCCAGACCTGCTCTGCTAATTTAGCAACAGCCCTGACTGAATCCTCAATTAGGATTTATCTGAGCTAAGAGCTTATTATGCACTTCATCCAAAGGAAAAAAAAAAAGAGGGAAAACAGCCTGACTCCCTGGTTGTGGTGGGGGTTTTTTTCCCACCCCCAAACTTGATGGCTGTGCATTTAAAGTGGCACTTGACTTTGTGCCCGAGAGCTAAAAGCTTTTTTGGTAGGAAAAACTGCTGACAACTGCAAAATCCTGCACTCAGACACGGGAAATGCTCATCCATTGCTGCCTCTGGAATTACAGCACGTTCCTGCTGGGATTGGCCTCCACATGGAGCAGGGAGGGGACACTGCAGAGTCACAGCTCTGGGGGACAAGCCTTGGCAGAAAGCACCTCACTTTTCCCATGCCAAGGTGGGTGATGTGTTGGGCGAGGCCACCTGTAAAGCAGGTGCCAGAAAACACCTGCTCCCAAATTCTGGAGCTCTGGAGAGCTCCCAGAGCTCTGGGTTCCCCTCCCTGTGGAGGTGGGAGGTGACAGGTTCACACCACACAGAAGGGTCTGCTCCCCCCAGGTTTGATTCAGCCACACTCAGCAAACTCTCCCACCAATCAATCCCCAATCCAGGGGATCCAGCAAAGCCTTGAAGGCCCATGGGAGATGTTGGGATTATTCCCATGATGGGTTTGGAGCACTCCCAGTTGGTCACACAGGGAGCCTCGAGGCCACCTGAGAGAAACCCAGCACAGACAGAGCTGAGAGTTGATCCTGGGTCTTTTCCTTGGAAAATCAGGGTGGAATCACTAAGGCTGGAAAAGACCTCCAAAACCACTGAGTCCAACCTGTGATGGCATTACAAAAAGATGGAAGGGGGGACTCACAAAGAGCCCTTCAACCCATGGCCAAGGGTGGCTCAGCAGGAGCAGCAAAGCCCCAGGAGATGCTGGTGCCACCTAGGGCAGCTGGAATGAGGACATGGACTGTGGCCACCACCCCAAATGAGGGTGAGCACAGTTCAACAAGGCCAAGTGCAAGGGCCTGGCACCTGGGTCAGGGCAAAATCCAGGCTGGGCAGAGCAGGATGGAGAGCAGCCCTGGGGAGAAGGGCTTGGTGGATGAGAAGCTCAGCATGGAGTCATGGAATGGCCTGAATCATGGGAAGGGGCCTGAGAGATCATCCAGTTCCCACTGGAATGGGACATCTTCCCACTTGGATAGGGAATCCTAAGGTTGCTTGGTTTGGAATCATTGAAATGCCGAGCTGGAAGGAGCCAGGAGTGCAGGGAGGTGCCTGAGCAGAGGTGATGCCATGTGGAACGTGGGAGCTGGGAATGAGATCCCACTCCAGCTCCTGATCCCTGTCCCCACCATCGGCCACTCCTCCAGGCACAGCATCAAAAAGGCACCTGGAAAACCGACCCTGAGTCCTGAACTCCTTCCTTTCCACCTGAGGATAAACAAAGGAGCTTTTGCAGCCTCACACCCAGAGCGATTTAACAGATCCTAAATCAGGGCGTTCTCAGCACCTGCCACGGTGAAGCTCTCCAAGACAAACAAATAATTCAGGGAATCATTACCCACAGTTTCTCACCTAATTAAGGCTCACAATTATTTAAGGCTCCCTCTGTCTGACAGTGGCAGTGTCAGAACTGGAGTCACTCGGCAAAACAAGGAGAACCATTGTGGAGAAATGAATCTGAGGGGGGGCCCATGAGGTGTTCAAAAAGCCACAGATTCCTCCTTTTTAATGATTTGTTGCAACCTCAGGCTCGAGGGGCAAGAAATTAAGATGGAGCTGGTTTTTAGGTTGCCCAGGTTGCTCCAACCTGGCCTTGGACACTCCCAGGGCTGGGGCAGCCACAGCTTCTCTGGACAACCTGTGCCAGGGCCTGCCCACCCTCCCAGGGAACAATTCCTTCCCAATATCCCACCTGATCCTGCCCTCCTTCCCCTTAAAACCCAGTTTAATCTGAATTTCCACCCCTCAAGCCTGAGGTTGCAACTAATCAGGAAAAAGGAAAAGTCTGGAGCTTTCTGAACCCAACGTGACCCTGCTCAGATTAATTTCTCCACACAAACACTGGGTTTCCCAAAAGAGTGGAACAACCCCAAACTGACCTGATCTGAGCCTGTGCCCTTGGGATCCCCCCTAACCCTGGGAGTTATTGTAAAGAAAAGCTTCATTATTGCAGATTTATTTGGGTTTAATCCCCCCCCCTTGACACTGAGTGGAGCAGCTCCTCTGCCAGTTAAGCCAGGGCTACATCCAGACAGTTTTAATTCCAGTGGATCAAACCAGGATTACTGCAGCACAACAGAGATCTCCTGTTAATAACTAAAATATCAAGGCCAGCAGAGCCCCCTTCCTGCTGGAAGGGGACACAGAAAGGCAGGAAAACCTTGAGGAAACACAACATTCCCTGCTCACACCTGCACTGGGGGTGCTGTTTGGCCCCTGGGAATGCTGTGACCTCACTCCAAGCAGCTCCCAAGTCTGGTTTGGCTCTTGCCCCGGGGATGCTGCCTCTGGATCTGGGATCACAAGGACACTCCCACTCTCCAAACGACTGGCAAGGCAGGAAGGAAAGTGGCTGTGATGGACTCTTTGTCTCTGCTGTGCCCCTCGTGGGTGCAGCTGGCAGTGAAGTTGCTTCCTCTCCCTCCCTAAACACAGACCAAAACCTCAGCCTGGAACATCTTCACCTCCTCTGCAGCCTCTCCAAGCACAGCCAGGACCCCCGTGGAGCCTCCACAGCCCCCACAGGGACAACACTGCCAAGGAAAAGGCCAATTCCCAATTTCCTGGGAGGATCTGGGGGTTGATGGAGAGTGATGAGCACGTTTGGACAGGATACCACATCCCCCAGCTCAGGTTAGATCACCCCTGACAGCAGCCTTGGGACACCCTCAGCACTGCAGGGCCATGGGGGCATGGAATGGGTTGGGAAGGGGTATTAAAGCTCATCTCATCCCACCCCCTGCCATGGCAGGGACACCTTCCACACCTTCCACACCCTCCAGGTTGCTCCAGCCTGGCCTTGGACACTCCCAGGGCTGGGGCAGCCACAGCTTCTCTGGGCACCCTGTGCCAGGGCCTGCCCACCTGAACAGGGAAATGAACTTCATTCCACAAAGCATCTCCCTGGGGTCACTTGGGGATGGCCAGGGACACCCTGCCCTGCTGGAGGACACAACACCATCCCAGGGCACACCCAAGAGGGGAACAATCCAAGTGGTGGCACGAGGGAGGGCTGGAGCACCACGAGGGAACGTCTGGATGCCGGGTATGGACACTCTGCCTGTGGAATTCTTTGCTTTAGGTCGTAGAGAGGTGGGGGTTGGTCTCTTCTCCCAGGGAACAAGGGACAGGACAAGAGGAAACAGCCTCATGTTGTGCCAGGGGAGGTTCAGGTTGGACATCAGGGAAAAATTCCTTCATGGAAAGGGTGGTCTGGCACTGGAAGGGGCTGCCCAGGGCAGAGGCGGAGTCCCCATCCCTGGAGGTGTTCCCAAAACATGTGGATGTGGCACTCTGGGACAGGATTTAGTGGTGACCATGGTGGTGGTGCTGGGATTTTCCAACCTGTCCAATTCCATGACTCCAAGTCAGACATACCAGATTTCCAAAGGCAGAAAAGGCTGAAGGCAGTTCACTGAGAGCTCCAGGGAGAGCAAAGCATTGGGATTCCAGGAACATTCCCAGTGCTCTGCATGGCTAATTGCCATGGAAATCAACCCTGGCACCACAGGGAAGAGGCAGGGACACTCAGACATGGAATCACAGTGCTCTACCAGAGAATTATGGGATCCCACAGACCTGGGAATGACGGAGTGCCAGCCTGGCTGAGGAGCAGAGGGAGCAGCACTGACAAGGAATTTGTGTCTGGAAAGCAACAGGGAACTGGAAAAAAACCCCACCTGCTCCAGCAAGGGAGAGATTTAAATGAACAAACCAGGGGATAATTGTCAGGAAGTGCTTTGGGAGAGGGTGGAACACACATATAAAGCAAATTCAACACGGTGGGGCAGGAGGTTTTAGCCTAGAAATGCCCAAGAGGTTAAATTTCATTCATAAAAACCTTCCCTGCGAGGAAGATGCAGCACATCCCACCTTCTTGGGCACTTGTTGTGGTCATCCTGAGGATACATGGATTGTTCCAAGCCTGGAAAAGCAGCAGCCTGAGGTCCCTCTCTGGGAAAGGTCACTTGAATGCACGAGAGGCAGGGGAGGGGAGATCCCACATCATCCATGGGAGCCCAGGCTAAGGCAAGGAGAGCTGCCCTCATCCTTCAGAAGGACACAACCCTTCCCTGGAAGTGTCCAAGGCCAGGCTGGACGGGGCTTGAAGCAACCTGGGCTGGGAAGTGTCCCTGCCCATGGCAGGGGGTGGGATGAGATGAGCTTTAAGGTCCCTTCCAACCCAAACTATTCCATGAGCCAAAGAAACTGATGGCCCCAGACCTTTGGAAATCCCAGTAAATAATGGATTTTCAGGTCTCAGGTGTTCTCTTGGTTCATTTTTAGGGCTCTGTGAAGGGCAACTGGAAAAGGAACATTTTGCTGTGAGGCTTCAGTTTATGAGACCTTTCAAGCTCTCCTGGGATAGTCCAGGAGGGGCAGATCCAAAGCTTTCCAGGGTTAAGTGGGACACATTTCAGTCCTTGAGCCTCCCTGAGTCCTGAAGGCTTCCTCCAGCTCCTCTCCTGCACCCACAGACACATGTTCAGTCAGCAGGAAGCAGGGAAAAACAAGGGATGTGTGTGTGGGAAGACACCTGGAAGCTCACTGGGAGATTTTGAAGACATTGAAGAACCCCCCCAAAATTATCCCCAGCTCCAACCCCGGTGTCACCTCTTCGTTGCAGGGAGAAGAAAATAACACCAGACCTACAAACTGCAGTTTCCTCTCCCTTAATTCCCTTTTTCTCCCTAAATCCCTGGCCTCAGGAGACTCCAGAGCTTAAGTCCTAAACTATCATTCATCACACAAGCAGGTGCCAATCAATGGATCTCCATCATTCAAGGCAGGATGAATTATTTCTGACACTCCCAGACTCTTTTCCTCCAGGCTGTCATTCCATATTGATGTTAAAATGATGATGAGCATTGTCTGAACACCCCCAAACTCCGAACACAGGGAAATGAAGTCCCATTTCCTCGTGATTTTTATTACAGCCTTCCTGCAACTCCTTAATTTTTTAAAGGGCCCTTTGATTTTGCCATTACTCACTCCAGTCTGATCATTCCCAGGGCACAGGTTTGCTGCAAATAATAGACACTGACAAATTTTATTCTCCACTAGAGCCTGAAATGCAAAAATTAAAAACCTAATCGAAATAAATCTATTCTTTATTAGTTATTTTAGTACTGGGGACAGATTGTTTCCCAAAGACACCCTCTGCTAATGGCTCTGGAAGGCAAAGCAGCTGCTGAATTCCTCCTGGGCAGGTAGCAGTTTATTCTTGTTACTGAGGGTGTTACTTAAATTATGCATCAATAGGGTCGGTGCAATCTGTTTGTTTTCCTTCCCCTGGACCTCAGAATGGAAAAGAATATTTGGATTTCTCAGGCACAGTTGCCAGTGGCAACAACCAGAAGCGAGGCCGTAAATAAAGCAAATTTTAAGGGGCTTAAAACAGAATTAGTGCCAGGTATCCTGGTTTTCCCTGCTCCCATAAAAATAGGGACAGTTTGGGAACTGTGCAGAAGTTTTCAATGAGGAGATTCTGATAATTATCAAACGTGGTTTCAGAGTGAAAGGGAGTAGGGACAGATGGATATTGGGAAGGAATTCTTGGCTGGGAGGAAGATCCAGCACTGAGCTCCTCCCAGAGCTTCCTTCCCAAAAGCCATCCAGATGAAAACATCAATCCCAGAAGTGTAACGGAGCTGGGAAGGGGCTGGAGCAGCAGGAGCAGCTGAGGGAGCTGGGGGGGCTCAGCCTGGAGAAAAGGAGGCTCAGGGGGGACCTTCTGGCTCTGCAACTCCCTGACAGGAGGGGGGAGCTGGGGGGGGTCGGGCTCTGCTCCCAGGGAACAGGGACAGGAGGAGAGGGAACGGCCTCAGCTGTGCCAGGGGAGGGGCAGGTGGGACATCAGGAGGAATTTCTCCATGGAAAGGGTTGTCCAGCCCTGTTACAGCTGCCCAGGGCAGTGGGGGAGTCCCCACCCCTGGAGGGATGTCTGAGCTGTGACACCTGGGGACATGGTCAGCGGTGGCCTTGGCAGTGCTGGGTTGGACACAACGATCTGAGAGGGCTTTTCCAACCTCAACCATTCCGTGAGGACTCTGGACAAGAGACACGTCAGAACAAGGCAGTTGTGCAGCACTTCCCAGGAGAGGCAGCAGTGCCTGGGAAGCCCCCTGGCCCCGGCCCAGCTCACCTTGGTGTGTGCCAGCAGCAGGCAGTTGGAGTGCTCGTGCTCGCAGGCGATCTCGTAGTCGGGCAGGAGCTCAGCCAGGTCCTGCACAAACCCCACCACCTCCTCGTGCCAGGGCACGTTGGCCATGGTGAGGCTGCTGGCAGAGCTTTCTCCACAGTAGGTCACGCCCTGGGGAGAGACATGGAAACCATCAGCAGTCAGCTCTGGGTGGTGCTGGCACATCTGGAATGCCGGGTTTGTCCCCCCCTCTTCACGAGGTCACAAAGTTGGAGATGGCACCAAAACTCCACCTCTCCCTCAGTGACACATCCGTGTGCCCAGGGGTCCCTGGCAGCAAAACACAGGGTAGTGTTTTATCCTGGAAAGCAGCTGGAAGAGGGTTCAAAGGGAAGGATGGCCCTGAAACACAACACCTCTGGAATAAAGTCTTGGGAACATCCAGTGTGACAAGTCACTGTGTCACTCCTGGAGATACTGTCCCCTGTGTCACAGAGGTGAACACCCCAGTGCTCCCATCACTCCATCCCAGTGCTTCCATCACTCCCATCCCATCATTTCATCACTCCCATCTCAGTGCTCCCATCACTCCCACCCCCCCGGTGATACAACACCCTGCAGCAGCCCTGAGACCCCTGGCCAGTGAATGCAACCCCTCAAGTTGTCCCACCCCTCTCCACCTTCAGCCTCCCAACCACAGAACCCTTTAGGTTGGAAGAGCCCCCCCCGACCATCGAGCCCAACCTTGGACCCATCTCACCCATCACCACCTTGTCCCCCAGCCCAGAGCACTGAGTGCCACCTCCAGTTGTCCCATTTTGGAACCAGCTGCTCTTAATTTGGAAGCCTGATCACTTGAACCTCCTGAATTACTAATTTAGTTTTAGCCATGACCTCAAATCACTACTGACTTGTTCCCTCTTCAATCAACCAGGAAAATTCTCCTAAATTGCTTCAGCTGCCTGCGGCTTGTTGAGATGTGTTTTTCCTTTTTCTTTCCCTTCCCTTCCCTTCCCTTCCCTTCCCTTCCCTTCCCTTCCCTTCCCTTCCCTTCCCTTCCCTTCCCTTCCCTTCCCTTCCCTTCCCAAACCTTCCCTTCCCAAACTTTCCCTTTCCTTATTTCCTTCCCAGAGTAGAACACTGTAAAATACTGGATGTTTCTTAACCTGTCAATTTGTCCAGCAGGTCAATGAGTGCCAAAAGGCAGCGGGTGGTAACGCTCAGTGTCACCCACTCGAAGTGTAAACTGTTTATGGGATCTTTTAATTGTCTGCCTAAAAGTATTTGGCAGAAACTCCCACGAGTCACCTGAAGTTCTTCTACTCAAATAATTCACTGTCATTTTCCCAGCACTTAATCTGTCACCAGAGAGAAGAAATCAACCCCCACCCGGTCACAGGGTTGGTCACAAACCCACCCACAGGGGGAACACAAAGAAAGGGCTTTTCCCCTGCCCTTTGCTGCTTGAGCTGTTTTATTCCAGTCACAGAATCCCACCAAGCACAGCCTTTAAAAACACCATTTAGTGGCTGGTTATGTCTGGGTTGTCCCTCTTGAACAAAGCTTCTACCTCTTTGAAGTGGCATCTGCATCCACGCTCACGTGTGCGGTGTCCACCCCACTGACACCCTGCTCCCAAATCTGATCTACCTGTTAATCTACCAATTAAGAGCAAGGTGAGCCACACAGGGCTACTGAAGAGACAGCCTGCTGCTAATTAGCAACCCTACAAGTTTGGGAAGCAATTACTTTCTCACCCAGAAATCAGCGAGTGGCTCCCTCCATTAATCTGCCCGAGCACCACAACTCGGAGCCAGCCTGAAAAGAGGGGATGGGGCTCAAAGGGGATGTGCATTCCTTTGGATTTAGCCCAGCTCTGAGAGAAGCCTTTAAAAATATTAGTTCTGTCTTCTTTAGTCTTACTCAGAGCAGCCCCAGCCACGCAAATGAGAGGTTATGGATCCCCAAAGTTCAGCTGGAGGGACACAGGATTATTTTCCCTGTATTCATTATCCGGCTTATGATTTGAGCAGCGTGAAAAATGGATGAGGACAGAGGGGGAAAATTCTTAGGAAGCTACAACATGACTCACCCTCTTAGTAAACTCCAGCGAGATCATTTACAAGCAAAGGAAGCGCATGGAATAACGGAGGGCTCGGCTGGCTCATTAATTCCCAGCACAAATCAATGAGGAGCAGCTTCCAGCACAGCCAAGGAAAGCACAGCAGCTTTCAACTTCCCCAGCTCCTCAAAACTGGAGTTAATTACCGGAGCTGAGACCACTTAAAAAGTGGGAAGAGTTGATTAGGGCAGTCAGGTTGTGTTTTCTGGTAATGCATGAAGTTATTGAGACATCAAGTGTTCAGAAGGAAGTGATTCCACTGCGCCCCCCGAGCTCTCACACAACCTCCCCATCAGCAGCATCAACACTGCTCCTAATTACTCCTTAATAATAATGTTACTCCTCAATAAAAATGCTGTTGCAGCATCCTAACCCCCAGGGCTTTGGCCAAGCACCTTGGAGTGCAGCAGCCTTTTGAAAAGCATCTCCTGGTTCTGCCAGGATGAAGCCAGAGAAACCCTGCTGGGGTTCACAGAACCATGGAATGGCTTGGGTTGGGAAGAGCCTTAAAGACCGTCCAGTTCCACCCCCTGCCAGGGGCAGGGACACCTTCCACTGAAAAAGCAACCCCGTTTCTTAAGCTGTAAAAAGTGTTTCTAAAGAAGAAAGGAAATAAAAGTAATTTTGCCCAGAGCACCTTTGGTGTGTGGCTGCTGTGCAGGGCTCTGTGAGGGGGGACATTAAATTGATTTTCAGGAGATCAAAAGCACAAATGTTGTGTGAGATCTCTTTTCTTCATAGGATGTGGAGGGGCAGGGAGGGCACTGCTGTGTCTGTGGGTGATGGACACCCTTCCTGACCATCATTTCAAACAAAATCCAGCATCCCAGAATGGTTTGGGTTGGAAGATGCAGGAAATGAAATATATTGATACAGTTTTGCTTTCTGAGCTTCAGAAAAGATTAACAGAAACACAGTAAATATATCTAATAATGCGTGAGCCGGGCAAGTGATGGGATTGTGGAATCCTGGAATGGTTTGGGCTGGAAAGGACATTAAAGCTCATCCCATTCCAATCCTCCTGCCCTGGGCAGGGACACCTTCCACCAGCCCAGGTTGCTCCAACCTGGCCTTGGATACTCCCATGGATGGGGCAGCCACAGCTTCTCTGGGCACCCTGTGCCAGGACCTGCCCACCTGAACAGGGAAGTTGGGTCATGGGAAATGAACTTTATTCCCCAAAGCATCTCCCTGGGGTCCAGGGTATGGACACTCTGCCTGTGGAATTCTTTGCTTTAGGCTGTAGGCTGTAGGGAGGCGGGGGTTGCTCTCTTCTCCCAGGGGACAAGGGACAGGACAAGAGGAAGCAGCCTCAAGTTGTGCCAGGGGAGGTTCAGGTGGATATCAGAGAAAAATTCTCTCTAATATCCCATCAATCCCTGTCCTCTGGGAGTGGGAAGCCATTTCCTCTTGTCCTGTCCCTCCATCCTTGTCCCCAGTCCCTCTCCAGCTCTCCTGGAGCCCCTTTAGGCCCTGCAAGGGGCTCTCAGGTCTCCCTGGAGCCTTCTCTTCTCCAGGTGAACCCGCCCAGCTCTCCCAGCCTTTCCTCCCAGCAGAGCTGCTCCAGCCCTCGGATCCTCTTGGTGCCTCCTCTGGACTCTCTCCAGCAGCTCCATTGTCCCTGTGCTGGGACCCAGAGCTGTGATGGAGCTGAGTGAGCACAACTATTGACCAGAGCCTTGTGCCAGGCTGAGAAGCGTGAGGAGCACGTTCCCTTCCCCAGGATCCAGCTCCTGGATGGAGATCTGGACAGCCAGCAATCATTTTAATCCATGGGGCTCCGAAGGAAACATTCCCAGAGAATCAGATATGACAGGGCTTTGTTTCTCAACTCCAACTCCAGACTTCCCAACTTAATTACTGAACAAAACAATTCCCTGAACTGCCAGCCCACCAATTATAAATTTAATGGAGGCTCCTGTGAATGGAGAGCAGAACAAAGTGTCGGCCAAGCTGCTGAGTGACAGAGCCACTGTTTAAAAACTGGGGCAGCCCTGACCCAGGGCAAACAGAAAAAGCCTCAAATGACATGTTGATAGATGGCACTCCCTGCAATAAAAGTGCTCCTGGGCTGGGCATCAGCACCTCCAAATGACAGACACAGCCCTGCAGTGGGTTCAGCGAGGATTCAACTCGCTGATTGTGTTTGATAATCACTTTAAAGCTGATTTAACAAAGGCCACCTGTTCTGGGTGGCAGTGAAATGTGAAAGGCAGGGGTGGAGAGGGTGAGCTGGGCTGCACAACCCCAGCTCTCCAGACAACCCCCCACATGGCCATGCACTGAGTGGGGCTGCAGCCACCCCATAATGTTCTGTGAGGCCCCTGAAGGGGAAGGAGCTCCTCCTGGAAAAGCTGAACTCCAACACAGGACACAGCCTTTCATTCCAGCTCTTCAAAACCATGTGGATACCAAGAGAGAAACGGCCACTGTTGAATCCCTCACCCCTCTGCTCCCAGAGTCACCTTCATGGAAACCCTGAGGCTGGAAAAGCCCTCCCAGCCCATGGATCCCCCCTGTGCCCCATCCCCACCCTGTCCCCCAGCCCAGAGCACTGAGTGCCACCTCCAGTCCTTCCTTGGACACCTCCAGGGGTGGGGACTCCAAACCTCCCTGGGCAGCCCCTGCCAGTGCCTGACCACCCTTTCCAGGGAGAAATTCCTGCTGATGTCCAACCTGCCCCTCCCCTGGCACAGCTGAGGCCGTTCCCTCTCCTCCTGTCCCTGTTCCCTGGGAGCAGAACCCGATCCCCCCAGCTCCCCCCTCCTGTCAGGGATTGCAGAGCCAGAAGGTCCCCCCTGAGCCTCCTTTTCTCCAGGCTAAGCTGTCCCTATTCACTTCTTAGTTTCTACACCTTCCCTTGGGCATTGGAAGAAGTTTTTCACCATGAAAGTGGTAAAACACTGGCACAGGTTGCCCAGAGAAGCTGTGGCTGCCCCATCTCTGGAAGTGTCCATGGCGAGGCTGGACAGGGCTTGGAGCAACTTCAATCTAGTTGAAGTCCCTGCCCACGACAGGGGGTTGGAATTAGATGACCTTTAAGGTCCCTTCCAACCCAAACCATTCCATGATTAGTAAGTTGGCACCTTGAGCTGGACCAACAGCAGCAGGGGGACCAAAAGGGGCTGCTCAGGGCCCACCTGGAAGCAGCTTCCATGGCAGGGCAGGACATCTGGGATTTATCCAGCACTGCCAGACCCTCGGGTGTCCAACTGTCCTGCAGGACAGGGAGGTGGCACAGCCCCAGGCAGCCCTGCCACTGCCCACCTGGGCACCTCAGAGCATCCACACCTTGTCCTTGGACCCAGAGCTCACAGCTGAGAGGACAAGGTGACACTGAGGGACTGGAGCGTGTGCAGGGAAGGGAACGGAGCTGGGAAGGGGCCTGGAGCAGCAGGAGCAGCTGAGGGAGCTGGGGGGGCTCAGCCTGGAGAAAAGGAGGCTCAGGGGGGACCTTCTGGCTCTGCAATCCCTGACAGGAGGGGGGAGCTGGGGGGGTCGGGCTCTGCTCCCAGGGAACAGGGACAGGAGGAGAGGGAACGGCCTCAGCTGTGCCAGGGGAGGGGCAGGTTGGATAGTGGGAAAATTTCTCCATGGAAAGGGTGGTCAGGCACTGGCAGGGGCTGCCCAGGGAGGTTTGGAGTCCCCACCCCTGGAGGTGCTCAGAAAACATGTGGATGTGGCCCCTGGGGACGTGGCCAGTGGTGGCCTTGGCAGTGCTGGAGGGATGGTTGGATTTGATCTTACAGGTCCATTCCCAGCTTCCTGATCCTGTGATTCTGGAACAGTGACTGGTCAATGTTGGGCTTTTTTCAGGCATGGAAATCATCCCTGTTTTGGGTTTATTTATAGCAGGGACTAGAACAGGAGATTTAGCTTCACTTCCCTTCATCTAAATTCCAGCTGGGATTCAGCAGGACTCAGTGGCTTTCTTGACAGGTGGGGGCAGTCCCCTCTTGCTGCTGCAATTAAAAACTCATTAAGGCACAGCTCATTTTCCTCATTACTTTAAGCATTTAAATAATCTTCAGTGTTTAATATGACAAGAGTGAGCAGATTGGGCCTGATACTTCTTTCCACACATTCACTTGGTCATTTGAATTCTGCAGCAAAGCCTCAGGAGCTTTGCAGTCCCAGAGAGCAGACACCACCACCAGCCTGGTGTGGAGGTGCTGCAGGGAAATCATCAGGGACAAGTGTTTCCAAGTGGCTGAAAACTGATTTCACAAAGGCTTGAGAAGATTCTGTGATGGGACTTTCATCTCTGCCCTGCCCAAAGTGCTGCCCTCAGACACTTTGGTACAAGCAGCCCTTGGCCCGAGGGCAGCCAGGCTTGTGTTGTCCTCCTGAAATTAAAAGGGATGGGGAAAAGCTGGAAGGCTCAGCTCAGGTGGGAAGTCCCAAAGTCACACTGTTCCTGTGAGCTGCACCAGGAAGCTTCACCTTCCCAGAGGAAGTGTCCAAGGCCAGGTTGGAGCGACCTGGGATAGTGGGAGGTGTCCCTGCCCAGGGCAGAGGGTGGCACTGGATGGTCTTTAAGGTCTTCCCCAACCCAAGCCATTCCATGATTCCATGATTTAGCAGGGTCAGACCCTTCCCCAGGGACAACATTCTGCTTCTGGCTCCAACCACAGCAACCAGATCACAAAATCATGGAATATCCCGAGCTGGAAGGGACCCCCAAGGATCATCCAGTCCAACCCCTGGCCCTGCACAGACAACCCAACAATCCCACCCTGTCCCTGAGAGCGTTGCCCAAACCCTCCTGGAGCTCTGGCAGCCTTGGGGCTGTGCCCATTGCCCTGGGGAGCCTGTTCAGTGCCAACCACCCTCTGGGGGAAGAACCTTTCGCTGAGATCCAACCTGAGCCTGCCCTGTGTGAAGAGGAGCTCCAGCACTGCTGCTCACAGCAGCACATCCACAGGGAACCAACCTGCCTTTCTTCTTTTCCAAAGCCAGATCACAGGGCAGCACAGCTCCATTTAAAACCTGGAAAAGAAATGGAGCCTCCTTCCTGTCCTGAGCCCTGACAACTCCTTCCTGCTGCTGGAGCTGAGGAGGAATTAGCTGTGCTCTTGTTCTCTCTCCTCTCTCCTAGGGCTGAGCTGCTGTCAGACCTCCTGTTTGCTTTGGAGAGCTTGGGAAAATCCTCCTCCCTCCACTAGGCTGGAAACAAAGAGCAAAGTGAAGAGGGTGTTTGTGGGGTTTGAGTGCACAGCTCACCTTGGAGCTGTGAAATGTTGCACTCTGGGTTTTAATCCGAGCTGGGACTGGGAAGGGAAGGCTTTCCCAACACACCCAGCCAGCAGAGGGATGATGCATCCTTTAAAAAGGCTTAAACCCCAGTTTCCCTGTGTCCCTGAGATCTTGGGATTAGAAACACAAGAGACTTTCCACATGGGACCAGAGCCCAGGCACAACACTGAACTGTTCCCACAGAAGGAAACTGAGGCACAAAATGCCCTTGATGTCCCTTGGCTTGAAGGCACCTGGCCAGGATGAGCTGCTGGGAATTCAGGGATATTCCTATTTCTGGAAATAGGACACTCAGACCAAGGCACTGCCCAGGCTGCCCAGGCAGGGTGTGGAGTCTCCCTCACTGGGGACATTCCAGAACCATCTGGACCCAATCCTGTGCCATGTGCTCTGGGATGACCTTGCTTGACCAGATGCCCCCCCATGGTCCCTTCCAGCCTGACCCACTCTGGGATTCCTGCTAGCAAGTGGAATTAGGAAACATTAAACAGCAAACTCACACTTGTGTCAGCCCAAGACAAGTCCCAGACCCACCCACCAGAGCCCTGGGTGCCCTGCCAGCCTCTGTCCCCCTGCAGCTGAGCAGGGCTGAGCCCTCAGTGCCACCATCCCACTACATGGATCCTGGGAATGTCACCCAGCCCCCTCTCTGCCTCAGCTCACCCTGTGCAGCCAGGGGAAGTGTTCCAGAGGTATCCCTGTCCCAGCTGGAAGAGCACCAGGAGCACACCTTTCACTCACCTCCTTCCTTACCCATTTCCCTGGCAGTCCAAGGCCAGGATTTTTCCAGGGAAGAGCTGAGCTCTGGGAAAGCAGGACTAAGGGGCAGAGGGAAGAGCAGCCCTGTGCCTTGGAGGAGACAGAGATGTTTGCCCTGCAGAATTCCCAGGGGATCTGTGTTTGGGAACACTGTCTTAAACCCAACTCCTTTCACTGACTGGTGCCCAGGGCGGAGCAGCATCAACACCCCCAGCTCCATCCCTGCCCTCCAGCATCCTGGAGACAGGGAGTTCTTCCCACAGGAACACTCCTCCTGCTTGCCTTGACCCAAGGAATACGAATCAGCTCAACACACAAGGTAAAACTGAGGGTTTTTTTCCCCAGATCCTGATTTTGGCTCAGGGTCTCAACTTCAGCAGCACATTCAGGGAGAGAGATCTCTGATGGATCAAAACCTTTGGGTTTGTTCCACTGCAGCAAATTCCAGGCTTTTGCTTCAAAAATAAGGTGAGAAACATGAAAGGAGAGAAGGAAAAGAAAAAGGAAAGGGAAAGCCCAGAAGCTGGAGCTGCACAAATCCAGAGGTAACTGAGCTGCTGGGTGCCAGTGCTGAGAGTGGCTCTTCCCAGAACATTTATAAAATGCCTTTTTTACAAGTTTTTAACATTTTGTTTTACATTCCCTAAACCCATTAACCCCATGACAAAGCCCCTCCTGCCCTGCTGTGTCTGTTCCTTATATGTCACTGAAACCTTTGGGAGGGCTTTACACAGCAAGTTTCAAGCTGGGGGGGAAATCTGGAGTTAAAAACTGGGAAAAAAAACTGATGGAAAAAATAAACCAGCTGCAGGCAGCTCACCTTGACCTCGATGAAGTCTGGTTTTCCAAGGGATATCAGCTCAGCATAAGCTTTGAGTTCATCCACATTCCAGGCTTTCACCAGGGTCAGCCTGTAAACTGTGCGCTGTTCCTGGAATCAAGGAAAAGAATCCCATTAGTATCCCACTCTGGCACAGGGATGTTCCAGCCCTGGAACTTCAACCAGGAAAAAAGGGATTAAATCATTCCTTTATTACTGAACCAAACCAGGAGCCTCCTCCCTTGTTCTTTCGAGGCATTTACTCCACAGCGTCGGAGCTGAGCCACCTTATCCCATAAAATGACTGATATTCCTCCTGGATTTCCCAGGCACTTTGTTTTTACAGGAGCATTAACTTAATGGGAAAATAACCAGGAAATTTATCTCTCTTTGATTTGCTTCCCCAGGCATAAAATGTGCCCATTAGTTCCAGATGTTTTCGTTCCTCCAGCTGGATCAGCCGGCACTGGTGACTTTCCCAGGAACATGGAATCATCAGGGTTGGAAAAGCCCTCTGAGATCATCAAATCCAGCCATTCCTCAGCACTGCCAAGGCCACCACTGCCCCATGTCCCCAGAGGCCACATCCAGATGTCTGTTAAACCCCTCTAGGCTTGGGGACTCCACCTCTGCTCTGGGCAGCTGGGCCAGGGCTGGACAAGCCTTTCCATGAAGGAATTTTCCCCAGTATCCAACCTGAGCAGTGACAGCACTCCCAGAACTTCTGTCCTTGGAGCTGGTCTGATTTGCCCTCCAAGGGCTGCTCTCCAAAGAAGATGCTGGGGACAAAAGGACTCTCGACACAAGCACTTGGCCACGGAACAAATCCACTCTCACTGTGACATCCGCTCGTTTCCATCTTTTCCTGCCCCTTCAGTTCCCACTGATGTTTTATTTCACTTATTTTTGGAATTTTATTTCATTTATTTTTGGAATTTTATTTCACTCATTTTTGGAATTTATTTATAGAGCAATTTGCCATCAAAAGTGCTGTTTGATTAACTCCTTTCCCATCCCCACACACTGTTGACTGTAAAATGGGACAGTTTAGTCAGAGGGAAAGAGCCCTGCAATGAATCCACAGCAGCTCCAGGCTCCTCAGCTGGGCCCAGGCTGGATCCCAGTGCTGGGATTCATGGCATGGCAAGGGCTGGAATTGAGTTCTCCTGCTCCAACAAGTCCAGGCTTAGCCTGAGGTGGAGTTCAGAGAGTGTCCCTTCTGTCCCACCCAGGAGATGCCCGAGGCACAGGGCTCAGCTGCACATGACCCACTTTATTATTCCAGAACCCTGGAAGTGTCCAAGGCCAGGCTGGATGGGGCTTGGAGCAACCTGGCCTAGTGGAAGGTGTCCCTGCCCGTGGCAGGGGGTGAGATGAGATGGGCTTGGAGGTCCCTTCCAACCCAAACCATCCTGGGATTCTGTGATTACAATTTTCAACCCAAAAGGATGAACTGATGGAGGGATCTGAGCTGGACAAGCTCCAGAAGTGGCCCCTGGGAATCTCCTGAGGTTCAACAAGGCCAAGGGCTGGAGCTGCCCCTGGATCAGGGCAATCCCAGCATCAATCCAGGCTGGGGATGAGCAGGTGGGAGAAGGACCTGGGGGAGAGGCTGGACATGAACCCCCCGTGCCCTGGGCTGATCCCCAGGGTGGGCACAGGGCAGGGGGGGATTCTGCCCCTCTGCCCTCAGGTGAGACCTCCTTGCAGAGCTGCCCCAGTCCTGGGGAACAGCACAGGGAGGATACAACCCTAACTAAACTATCCCAAAAACTGTATTAATTAATCACAACTGGGGAGGGAAAGCAGGGAAAGAAACTCAAGTGGATACAGGAAAACAGGTAGAAAAATCAAAAATGACTGTTTGTGACTGAAGAAGCCTCTTTCCAGAGGGTAACATCTCTCAAGTGTTGTCAGGGAAAGCTGGAGAAGGGACACATCAAAATGACTAAGAGCCCCAAAACATTACCTGGGAGTAACCCTTGAGGAATGCCAGCAGTCAGAGTGCTTTATTCAGGTTTTATTTGTATTTGTGGTACAAGAGAGCCCCGGGAGAGCCTCTTGTAAGCACGGCAGAACAAGAAATAAAGAGCTTAAACTCCGAGAACTCAATGATCTAAAAGCAGGGGGATGTTCTGCTCCTGCTTTTCCAGGGAAAGCAATGTATTTCCCTCCCTGCAGGGAGAGCAAGAGGAGTTAATCCAATAACAAACCCTTTGGAGGGGGGTGAGTCAAGGGTGTGGAACTGCACCTTGTTTGACACCAAAAAGCTCCAGGAAGCGACAGGACCACAAGTGGCCATCAGGTGGCAAAGGAAATCCAGGTTATCTAAAATACAGCCCTGGGGTTTCCCTGGGATTGCCTGAGGTAACTGCTCCATTAAAGGCACCTTAATATAAAATATTGTCCAAGAAACAAGATCTTAACAGAGGGGAAAACCACTGAGAAGCACTTTGGCAGGTGGAGGACACAAACCACCCCAGTGCTGGGAGGGTGCTCAAGAAACAGAGATTCTGGGCTTTGCCCCTTGTTGGGTTCTCAAAACTAAAGAGCACCTGCCACCTTCCTTTGAGGGGGTCCCAAAAATGCAAGTTCCAGCCTCCAGCTCAGCCTTTTGTTCCCCAAACATCTGAGGGCAAAGGAATGAAGATCCAACCTGGGGAAAAGCAGGATTTTCCTTTCAAGCAACTCCCACTAAAACTTCCCACTTAAATCCTGCCAGGCTGCCCCAAAAACCATTGCAGCCCTTCAAGTGGCAGGACAGGGCACAAGGGAAGCACAAACCTGAACAGGGCTAGGGGAGGATCTTCAGGATAAAAAAAGCCTTTCATTGAGTGGATCTGAGGGCTGGTCTCTCAGAGCAGCTGGGAAGTGTCACAGCTCCAAGGCTGCCAGAGCTCAGGGAGGGTTTGGACAACACTCTCAGGGCCAGGGTGGGATTGTTGGGGTGTCTGGGTTGGACTGGATGATCCTTGGGGGTCCCTTCCAGCTCAGGATATTCTATATTAATGCTAATGCTGACACCCCCCGGGGCCAGAAAGGGTTAATAAAGGATCTGGTGTCACTTTGACAAAGTGTTCCCTTCCCACTTCAATAACCAAGAGGGATTGGGGCTGCTTCTTTTTTATCCTTTCTTCTTAACTCCCTCCTCCTCAACATTCATCTTCTCGTAGATCAGATAGAATTATTCTCCATGAAACAGCCCAGGGCTGATCTCAGGAGGGACAGGGAAGGGGGGACACACAAAATGTGCAGCAAAGAGCAGGGTGTGGAGTGATCCCAGCTGGGCTGGGGCAGGGGAGCATCATCTCCCTTCTCCAGGAGGGACAGGGGAGCATCATCTCCCTTCTCCAACCCAGACATTCCCTTGGATCGTGTCCCTGGCTCTGTTGTTCAGGCACAGTAACAGTGTCCCACCGTTTGGGAGTAAATATAATAAATCCCTTAATTTTATCACCACTTCCTAGTCCCAGTCAGGCCCCCTGAACACTCACATACCTTTCTTAGACAGGGCTAAAATTATTTTATTGCCAGAAAACGCCGTTTCCTGCCCAGACACCTCAAAGAAATGCCTATTTTTGCAGCTAATGAATCTCAATATTGTCAACACAAACACTGAGCTGCTTGAACGGCAAAAGCACCCTCTGGGGAGAGGAAATGATGGTGCAAACTCCAAACAAAAACTGCTCTTTCCTTCACACAACCTCACAGAGCCTCTGCAGGAGCAGGGGACGAGCGGGAAGCCACTTCAAAGGCAGCTCCTTTGGCTCATTAGGATTTGCTTCCTCCCTCCAAGGAAAGGCTTGACTTGCAAAACGGCTTCAGGACACGTTTTCAGAGCTCCTGAGCTGGCAGGAACCTGCTCTGATCGTGCCACAAAACAGCCTGAAAGCTGGAAGTGCAGCCCCACAGTCCAACATTCCTGGAGGAACTGGAAAGCTGCCCTTTCCCAGCACTGCAAAAGCCCTTTCCCAAAACTCCAGCCTGTTCCCTTGCCTGGGTTATGCAACGACTTCCTAAGTGAGCAAGTGCTGAATAAAGATATCAAAGCAATTTTCACACTTGGAAATTACTTGTCACAGGGATGTGGATCAGGAAAGAAAAAAACCCTGGAGCCAAGAATGGTTTCAGCAGTCAGTACCGCGTGTTTTTAGGCAGAAACCTCGGCAGGGATAAAGGATCCAAAATGCAGCAAAAAGGAATTGCAAATTCCAACACAACCCGAAATTTCACAGCTTTCCAAAGCCTTCTGGGTTCAGCCTGGAGACAGAAGGGCCTGGAAGAGGCCTGGAGATCGTTTCTGCCTCTCCCAAAGGCAGCTCTGCTCAGTCTCCAGGCTCCCAGAGCTCTGCAGGTCATGGAATGGGTTGGGATGGAAGGGAACTTAAAGATCATCTTGTTCCACACCCTGCCCTGGGCAGGGACACCTTCCACTAGCCCAGATTGCTCCAACCTGGCCTTGGACACTTCCAGGGCTCCAGGAGCAGCCACAGCTTCTCTGGGCAACCTGTGCCAGTGCCTGCCCACCCTCACAGGGGAGAATTCCTTCCCAATATCCTGTCTATCCCTACCCTCTGGCAGTTTGAAGCCATTCCCTGTGTCCTGTCCCTCCATCCCTTGTCCCCAGTCCCTCTCCAGCTCTCCTGGAGCCCCTTTAGGCCCTGGAAGGGGCTCTCAGGTCTCCCTGGAGAGAGGGTGAACCCCTCAGCTCTCCCAGCCTGGCTCCAGAGCAGAGGGGCTCCAGCCCTTGGAGAAGCTCTGTGGCCTCCTCTGGACTCAGTGTGGCACCAGGAGAACATCCTCACCATCAGAAGACTCAGTGCCCTTGAGAGGATGCAGATTAATCCATTTTTTTGGCAAGCAGGACCCTCCCCTCCCATAACAAGCTCCTCACTCTGCTCTGGCTCATCCATCACTGGAGAAACAACGTCCTCCCAGAGTCACACTGCAGGACCCAGGGATTGTTGTGCTGAGCAGATTTCCACAGCACAGGAGAAGTTTTTTTTCTTCAGCACAGAGCCCAAAAGTTTTCAGCTTCCTTTCTTCAGGCCAGGAGTCATGGGCTGTGCTGCGTAGGAACCTCCTCAAAACACCCATTGTTCCAGAATCTG